AAAGAAATGTAGAATCCATGTTTTCCCCTACTGCCGGCGCAAGAGAAGATTCCAGGCCCCAAATACAGAATAATGAGGCATTAAAGTCTGGGGCAGAGGAGGGTAATAATAAGAATAGGGGGGTTGTGGAGGGTACGATGGGAAAAGGGACAATAGTTTCCCGAGGAAAGAAAGAGTGAGGGATGGAGGATGGAGGGTGGAGGGGTGGAGGGGTGGGGGTGGGGGGGTAGAGATAAGACTGGTGGCTTATCCTAGTTACTGGGGAAGGATTAAGTGATGTGCCACTTTGGTTTGGCGAATGTGTGCGCACGCATACACACGCACATGCAAACAGGCCCTGCGCAGTGGTTCACACGTGCACACACTTTCTCTCATTCAGTCACCCTCTGAGAGATGCACACACATCCAGGCGTGTGCTGAGAGGGGTTAAGGAGCTGCGTTGCCCTCTGAGCCAGTCTTACTGGGCTGTAATGACTTTAGAGGATGTCAGATTCTTTTTATCCACCAGTGTAATATAATAAAGCAGAAAGGAAGGAGCTATCGTCTCTAAGCTGCCTCTACAGGCCTCTGTGGACTATCTCTCCTACTACTTCTCTTTTCTCCACCTTCCTAACTTCACCAATCCCCGTCTCTCTGTGTCTGCCCTCTGCTCCCGCATGAAACACTTTGTCCTTGATAACCTTGACCTCTTTCCCTTGTTCCCTTTCCTTACTCTCCGTCTCTCACTGGTGTATTGGGTTTGGTAAGCCTTCTGTTTTTCTTTTTGTTTCCTTTCTTCCAAGGCTCCTCTCCTCCTCCGGTGTCAGCCATGACAGTGTAGGGTTCTTGAACTGCTCCACCCTCAAGTCACGTGCTGTGACAGCCCGAGTTTCACTCGAGACACTTGGGTCAGGTCCCCTGCTGCTTCTGGTTATCTCTCTTAAGTCCTACCACCCTTTGTATTCTTTCTCTCTCCGTCTGTCTTTGTCTGTGGATGCCGGATTAAACAGAAAGTGGCTCTCCCAGGGGGTCAAATGGAAACAGAATACCCAGTGCAGCTAACATCAAGGATTAACTGATGAGGACTTGTTTCAACTTCATACAATCAAAGAAAAACTCTAAGCAAAAATGTTTTAAGATTTAAAATTACTGCAGATGTAGCAGGTCGAGTTTGTGGTTTGGTGGCAGATGTTCATACTTATAACAGGAAAAACACTGATATTTGTAGCGCAGATGTTAGCATCTGTCCTGCGGGGTGAAAGAGCAGGAGCTTCAACAGAGCACAGAGACACAAGACATTGTTTTGTGCTACACAGTCTCTTTTACATCCACCAGGTTTTTTTTTTTTTTTTGTCAGCTGAGAGCAGTGAATCAACAGTTTTCTTTTCTGTCAGAGTGTACCTTCAGCTGTCAAAGACAAAACACGTATGGTGACATCACTGAGTGGGAGCATGGCCAGAAAATTAAACAGCACTGCATTGAGAGAGAGGAATCTGGGGCAATGTGGGACTTTTTTTGAACTGTGTGTGCAAAGAAGTGGATCGGAGTTGACTGGAAGGCAAACAACTGACCCACATGTGACCAAGTGCTGATGAAGTCAACAAGATAACTGTGTCAGCCACTTGGTATACAACTTGAGGGGTCGGTTCACCGGAATCACACAAACACAAACACACACAAGCATATAAAACAAAAACATTTTCCCAAGTACTACTGTTTGGTAACCAAGTAAGTTGTTTTGGATTGATTTATCCAAGTGTGTAGATATCAGCTCTGAGAATTCATCCGAGGCTTGCTGTGAAGTGCTGTGCATACTGCCTGTCATCACCTGTGGGTCAGTGGACTAGTGTGAAACCATTAATAGCAATGTGAATCACGTCACCCACGTGCGCGCATGCATGTGCGTCCTTGTGCGCTTGCACGATGCAGACAAACAAGGGACCCACTCATAGAAAAACAGTGCGACTACATTGCTTAAAAAAAAAATAAGGAAAAAAAAACTCCACAGGGCTGCTTTAAATTTTGTTCTCCAAGCTGCACACATCTGTACTGACTGGTGAAGCTGCGATTGGGCAACTAATAGACCTTCCACGCTTTAACACATCTTCTAAACCAATCTTCAAAAACACTCACCTCTCATGTTCCTGTTTCCTCGTCTTCTTCCTCTTTCCTCCATGCTGAGGCTCCATCCATCCTGCTGCTTCACTGAGCTGGGTGTGTTTATGTGTATGTTTGGAGACTGTAGTGGGGGGTCTAATTCAATTCACCAGCAGCCAGTTCCAGTTCACATTAACGCAGTTTAATAAAAGACTATTCAATTAGCTGGAGAGCTCCATATGAGTGTGTGTGCTGCGTGCAGAAACAGAGACTGTCAATGATGGAGCCACACGCTCCAATTAGGCTCACTGTCGACTTCTCACACATACATTGGCAAGTTGGCTGAGGGAGGAGAGAGGAAAAGAGGAGAGGGGAAACAGCAGAGGACAGACAAAAGTGCAGGGTAAAAGACTCCAGCAGTGGGTGAACTGGAGGAAGAAGCAGGGACATGTGTGTTTGCATGTCTGAGCACTTTATCTGACTGTATGTGAATTCTACAAGTGTCTAACTTTACTTGAATTGATCCCCATTAAGTCTTTACAAAGGGCAGCAGTTTGGCAAAGTCTGACGCTGCCTCTCATTTGCTGACACCCCTTCAGCTGGATGAGAAAGAACAGCTGACAAGAGCTGAACAAAGGAGATGGTGCAGAGCTGCTAAAACATATAACATTAGGCTCTGTGGATGACTGTCAAACTTGTCTCCAGCTCAAGCTACAGAATGTCTGAGAGGTTAAAGCTCTGGCATCAACTCAAGGAATCGCTTTTCAGACAAACACCTGTACTTAAGCAGGTGGAAAAAAAAGCGAGACAATTACTGTATGTTGGCTGCAGAGTGAGCATTACGGAAACGCCCCCTCCAACAAAACACACACACACACACACACGCTCTGCGTTATGCGCATTTTCTGCAAGCCGTTGTAGTCAACTGGGCCCAGTAATTGTCAAGGACTGGAAATCAATAGTGGCGCATTGAAAGGCGTGAGCAGCCATCTTCTAACCTCGCTCCATGCAGCTGTCTCCCCCAATCAAAGCTGGGCTAGTTACCATGGCAACCTCAATCCCATGCCTTTCACAGTAATAAGGTGGGAAAAGAAAGGCATGGCACTGAAGGTGCGGGGTTGACATGGAGCTGGAGGAGAAGGAGGGAGTGAAAAATAAATCAAGTTCTTAAGAGATGCTGTAAAAAAAAAAAAAAAAAAATTACAGGTACTGAGAGTTTCAGCTGTGACGCATGCTCTATGATAAGACACATTCAAATCGAACAAACCACAGCTTCCTTAAAAAAAAAACAAAAAAAATAACATCACCCCTCCATCAAGATTGTGTTTATCTCATTTTGTCACCAAACCACGTTCAAAACATCTCATAAAGCCCAGTCTTCCAGTTTTTTCACCCATTGTGCTCTCTTATCCGATATATTGGTGAAATATCCCTGATATTTCTGTAATTCAGCCAATTTAATTAAAGGGGGTGGGTTTCTAATAAAAGCCAAATGGCAGATAGTGGTGCCTGGGCTTTTCAGGAGCTTGTTTAATCAGAGAATTGTTGAATGGGAGAAGGCAATAACAGAGTGAATAGAGGCTGGTATTTGTAAAGAAATGTCACGGAGAGAGGAGGGATATGAGAGTCACTGGCTAAAACCTCTAATATGGCTCTGGCTTTAATATAGGTAATATGTGCATCATGTCTGTTGGGTTGGAGCTGCCTAATCCCTGGTGAGGAAGCACAGTTTGTAGTTGCTGGTGTTCACTGACTCACATACAAAACTGGACTGGCAGACACACACTCTTCTAAATCAATTTCTTTATCGTTTCATTGGTCTCTGTCTTTCACTTTACTTGATTTCTATAATAGAGCATATATTGTATGGATTGGTCAATGGCACTGTGCACGTTACGTGCTGATCGATGCCATGGTGGCAAGTGGGAGTGAAACCGTGATCAATAGATCACTCCTCACAGCTATCATTAACAAATACACTCTACTACATTCACATTGACTGCCACTTGTGTGGATGTGGATTTATATCCAGGCACAGGTATGTGGGCATATTATAAGGCCATTAATATTCTCAGTGTGTCTGCTGTGTGATTGTGTGTATGTGTGCAATATGTGTGTATGTATGTGTGTCTGTGTGTTTATGCGATAACAAGCCTCTGTCATTCCGAGGGTGGCCAACCATGTCCATATATAAGTGGAAATGCATCTTAACTGAGTCCCTCACACACACACAGGGAGAGGGTTAAGTGTGAGTTTGTGTGTGTGTGTGTCTACAGAGTAGTGCTGTGAGCTGTAGCTCTGTGTGCTGACCTTCAGGGTTATCTGGAAGGCTCCTCCACACCTTGCTGCTAGCACCAACCCCTGCTGTCACCATGGAAACACAGCTAGCAGGGACAATATGTGGCCTGTCCAGTGTGTTGCTCATAAGCACGCATTCACGCAAGCACCTTCACGTGACGACATGATTATACCATAGACTGTAGGTTCGTACACGGGTTCACTATACAGACAGACACACACACACACACACACACACATATTAATACATGCACACTTCACTATTCATCTGTCGTCCACTTCATTTATCCCTCATTTCCTTCACTTTCCTTTCCCTTCTCTCTCTCTCTTAATGAAACCATGAGCACGACACACAATCAAGCCCCTGGGCCTGCACAGCATTGTCAGAAGGGTGCACACGACCCCATTTTCAGTAGTGGAAGCATTATTAGCGTGCCGTGACAAGAGACAGTCATCCACCACTGCAACACATACACACACACACACACACACACACACACACA